TGGTCAGAAGCACAGGTAATTGGCTGGGGCTTGCGGGTGGTATCTGGAGCAGGGGGTGGAGGGCAGTACTGTAGGATGGAGCCCTTAACCTGGGGAATCTGGTGCTATCTCCAGGCAGACAGCATCACAACTGAGTTGAGTTCTACGACACCCTGCTGGTGTTTGAGAATTGCTTACTGGTGTGTGTGGGAAGACCCCCACATACACACACTGAAATTGGGTTTGGGAACCCGAAGGGAGTTACACTACTACTACTGTTGTGTATACTACTATTATTGCTATACATATGTATGGAGAAAAAGAACATATTGCATTATCATATCTCTCTGCAACAAAAAGTGTATCAAAGCTGAAATTTAAATTTTTACAGCATTTCTGGTGAGATAGGTGCTAGGTATTAACATTTTCTTCTGAAATTGAGTTTTTGTAATTACTGTAATGAATACTTGTTCAAAATAGCATAAATATTATGTGTTAATAATCCCTACATAAAGTAAAATTTACCAGAAATGCATCTTATAATGAGTTAAGTCATTTATCCACGAATCAATATGATTTATTGGCATAATGAATCAGAGCATTGGTTCTACTCCTACTTTCATTTTTATGATTTTAATATAGGAGAAAATTCATTCACATAAAATAAGAGAAGAGAATGGAAGTTCTGTCCCTCCAAAATCACCAAATTCTTTAAATTCAGGTTCTAGGTTATAGGCTAACAGCCATACCATCACCTGTCATTAAATAATACTGTTAATAATCTCTTGGCTGATATTTCAATTAGATTTGTCTCAAAATTTGTTTTAAAACAAGAAAAAATTTGTCACCCCATCATTAGAGTATTCATTTTCTCAATACTCATGAAGTGTATAGACAAGATCTACAAAGATTCACCATTATCTTTCAGAGGCTTCTAGTTTATCCTAAGACATAGAGACAAGATTAGGAAAACTGAAATATTGTTCATGTCAACATCCTCCGGCAAGAAAAAGTTTTTATCTTATCACTTGCTTTCAATGTATTTCTGGGGGATGGGGAACAAAGACTTCAGAGCTAAAGATTTAGTTCATTAACTTAAGGAGAATGTCTACCATATTACATAAATAGCTAAAACAAAGTAATCAGTCAATGGAAGTTTACTCTTCAGAAAAATATGACTTAATTTTCCAATTAAAATAAATACAGTAACCCGTGTCCCCAAACACCTCATGTGAATTCTAATTCTAAAATTTGATAAGCCATAGACCCTTAGATGAATTTATTACTTGGATGAAATAAGGCACTGCCCTCTTCACCATTTTCCCTTTGCTCTTTTTATTTTGCTCCTGTCACAGGAATGATATTCTTTAATAATGAACAAAGAATGAAGAGGTCATTCCATGAAATCACTTAGAATTTTGGGAATTCAGGACAGTGTGACAGAGGCCAGTTTTTAACATGAGGCATTGCTCTTAACAGATAAGTATTTAAGAGACTCTGAAAGACAGAATTTTCCACTGTGGTCATTCCACGTCCTTATCCCTACAGCTAATCCTCTCATTCCCTGTTGCACATGACCTTAGTCCCAAACTGTCCCTCCAAACCCCTTTGGATAAAATCCACAATGATCAAACAATGGCTGCTAATATCTAAGAACAATTCGTCCATTCTGAGATTCACTTTAGATTATTCCTGAAAGGAGACAAACTACAGGTGACTTCCTATCCGCTTTCTAAAGTATTTCATCTTCTCCCCAAATTAGAATGTTTGTTTGACATACTTTCTCATGCCCAGCACTTTCAAATAAAAGCTGATCCTTTGCTCTGATTTGCTTCCATATAGCACAGGAAAAGACAGGAAGTATACCTAATACCTTAAGTAATGGAGGCTTCACTACACCAGCAATTTTAATTGTCTCTTTTTTTCTGGATACTCTCAAGGACTTCCCATCTTTCTCCCCAGGGCAATACACCATAAAAATACTCACGATGCAGGAAAGTATGTCTTTCTTCTTTGAAGTAGAAGGACAATTGTGAATAGGATGTCAGAAAAGAGAAGAAGTAGGCTACTCTGCTATCCTGACTAAAAGAACTTGTTCAGGAAAGAAACACAAGGAAGTTGACAACTGAGAAAATGATTCTTGTAGTATTATTTGCATACTGAAGATTGGAGAGCACTGGTTTAGTACGTCTAGAACACAAATTACAAGAAAAGAAGTCACTGTGAGCAGTCATCTGTTAAGCAAAAGAATGAGACCCATAAATACAGCAGCTACATGAATTATCAGACAGCAAATATATTTTTAAAGCGCTTTTTTAAAAGTCCTTAAAAAATACAGTAACAAGACTATCATAACAAGCTATGTTGATTCAAAAACAAGAGAAAATCTTTAAAAAAGTAGAAACTAAATAAATGGATTATACAATAGGATACATGGAGGTGAACAAAGAGCTTAAGAAATTATACAGAATGTAGCATTAAGAGACAAAGGGATACAAACTATGAAAGCATTAAGAGACAAAGAAATAAAGGAGAAAAGTGCAACACAGGTGTAGCGATACTTGAACAAATAATAGAGAATTTTCAGAACTGATGAAAGACATTCACCTATGAATTGTGGAAGCCAGAATCCCAAACAAGGCACACAAAAAGAAATCAAGGCCTAGAAAATCATAAGGAAGAGATCGATAAATTGGCTGTATTTTTAAATTAAGAACTTTTGAACATCAAGGACTTCATAGAACGAAATATCAAACTATGAACTTGAAGAATACAACTGCAATGCATCTAACAAATATGCATTCAGATTATTAGCAAAAGGTAAACAGTGAAATAGAAAACTGGTCAAAAGCAATAAATAGGCATTTCAAAAGGGAATCACAAATGGTTAATTAACATATGAAAAGATGTTCAGCCTCATTACAACTCAGTGAATTGCAAATTTCACTCCAGTGAGACAGCAGTTCAAGCTCAGCAGACTGGCAAAAATCATAGTCTAATAACACAAAATATGGTAGGTACATTAGTGTTCATTTTACTATTCCTTAAACTGTATACACACTTTATATATGTTAATGTGCATATGTTTTGTAACAAAAATATTTTTTGAGTGCCATCTGGATTTAGCAGTAAATGTTTTATGACCCTGCTGAGGGCAGTTTCACTGAAATAATGGGCATGAAAACCACACTGCAATAGGCTGAAAAGGTTCTATGAGATAAGGGGCGGAAAGACAGACATCTATTATATCAAGCTTCCCTTTCAGGCTGGGCAGATAGGTCTACAACTTGAGGGAAATGTCACAGTCATAATTTTTCAAAAAAGTTCTTTTAAATAAAAGAAACTGGGTCAAGTTTGCAAGGAAACAGCAAAAGGGAGAGGATAATGATACAGGAAAGGGCCCCTTGTTAGTCACAAAGATATGTAGCATAGAGCCCATGAACAGGGATAGGGATTAGCTTTAGACAGAAATGAGGGTTGCTGCTCTATTATAAGGCTAGCTCCTCCTTGACCTCACTACATCAGTTTTCTCCTTGTTCTATCTGCTCCAGTTACAAGAGCCCCCTAGATCCTCCTTCAAGCAAGCCCCTGCCTCAGGACTTCTGTTACTCCCTCTATGGAGAATACTATTTCCCAAACAGGCAAAGCCTGCCTTTTGCTCCTTGTAAGTCTTTGCTCAGATGTATTCCCTGACCACTTTGAAAGTGAAATTCCCTGTCACTCCCTACTGCCTTATTTCTGGTACTACTGATTCTCTCTTCCTGTTTTCTTTTCCTTCATAACCTTCTAATAAATATTACAAATATACTCATTTTATTGTTTAACCGCCCTAAGAATGAAACAGCTGTGGCCACTGTGCCCAATAATGTTGGATACAGGTGGAAGCTCATTAAATATAAGCTGAATAAATGATGAATGGTCCCTGCTTGAGGAACCTGAAACAGTAAGTATAATGGAAACAATGCTGTAAGATTTGAACAAAGTGAGGTAAAGCCTACAGAGTAACCAATTTATTGATTACATAAGAGGTAGCATTTGAGTTAGGTCTTGAATCATGAGTTTACCAAGTGGAGAAAAAAGGTAGATATTCCAGGAAAGTGAAGAACATTCGGGTGTGAAAGAGCCATGCACATTTGAGAAATAAAAATGGGAGTATGGCAGGGATGCCCGCGGGTCAGATTTTAGCTAACCTTTTAAAGTCCACAACAGAGGATACGTTATATTTTCTCAAAGCTACAAGTCCGTTAGATTTACAGTTCTTTGGTCCCTTGTTTTATTTGCAGTAGAGTATGGAATATAAAATAAAGTTTACATAGAAAGTACTGGACCTACTCTGATCATTGCAAAGGAAAAAGTTTCCAAAGAGTAACAAACTTACTCTGTTTCCATCTCAATCAACCAAGGAGAATATTGCTACCAAATGCCTCAACCGCGGTATTAATTCAGTTAAAACTAAAAATTCTCATTGGCCGGCAAAAGCAGTTTGAATGCAGAAATGGTAATGGTCAAATTTAAGTGCTTGTTTTGTAGTAGCTACTCTCCACTTAACCATTTACGAGTTTTTGAATAGACTTGCATGTTGTCATAATTCATCTGCATCTGCACTTATTACTGTGTTTTCAATTTGTCTTTTGTGCACATCACTACTATCTTTGGGACACTCATCTTCGTTTTGGCTCCAACTCAATTACTGAAATACCCAAGTTATTTTCAAGATTCCCTAGTGGAAACAGAGGCTCTTGTGTATACACACAGAAAGAAAACCTTCGGACAGTGTGTTCCAGAGTTCATGAGCCCATGTAATTCTTTAGGAATATTTGAGAACAAGACGGGACACCATGGTGCTTTCTAGGTTTTGCATCTCTGGGGCCCGCGAGGGGCTCAGAGAAGGTGGGGATGCCAGAGAACGGCGGGTCCCCACGGAGTTCCCAGGGCAGGCCAGCGGTCAAAGCACCGGTCTAAAGCCAGGGGGCGGGGCCTGCACCCTGCCTCGGAGGTGTGTGGGCCCCGGAAAGACTCACAGTAATAGGCCACCACAGGGTCCCGCTTGTCATGCTCCTGAGCCGTCCTCAGATGATGCTGTATGCTCTTAAATTGTGGGGGGAGCGGGGGCAGCGGAGCAAGCGCGGCCATCGCCACTCCAGGAATCACACTTCCTACTCGCGCGCCACCGGCACTTCCGCTTCCGTTCGTGAGGTCGCGCTCACGAACGCGCATGGCAACTACCGCCCACTCTTCCGTTGCTCAGCGACAGCAAGTCAACTACGGGTTCCCAGCAGGGACAGCTTCAGGGTGCCCAGACTGAGAAGCCGCAGACGACTGAGCGGCTGGACGACTAAGCTGCTTATGGCTCCAGCGCTCTCTGCTGGCTGCTGTTAGGAGTAAGAAGAATTTTTGTCTATTTTATTCTCTGCCTCCCTCCCCACCCACCGCTGCCTATTTTTATGGCAATGAGGATAGAAAGGAAGGAAAAAAAAAAGTCTATTTCTTGAGAGAAAGGGTAAAGGCGTAAATTGCCTTTGGCATCATTCAGGAATAGTCATTTCCAGTTCCTCAAGTTATCTTAGTAGCGTCCCTAGCCTTTCTGATTTTAGAAACTTTGAATTTAATTCTGGCGAAAGATGAGAGGTAGTGGTTTCAATTTTACAATTACATCCTTCTTTATTGCCACACTGGATAAAATAACCAGACTTTTTCAACTTAAGTATTAACCACATTAAGTTTAAAAGAAAATTGAACTTTACCAAAATGGATAGCGTATACACTAGTGAATGAATAATCTGTAGATTGTTTATTTCTGGAGGATGATGCACAAATTGCAAAGCATTTTGACAGTTTGTATGTTGTCGATGCACACAAAGGCGGCCGGGTGTACTACTTACTCAGTGCGTCATCTTTTCTTCCCACCATCAATGACTTGAATTCTTTTTCTCTCCTCTCCATCCCATATCATCATCTTCTGGGATTTTACACGTTATTTACCTGTTCTAATAGTATTCATCTTCACTTATTTCTGTCTCCAGTTTTGAGAGTTCATCTTCAAACTAGTTTTCATTGAAATGTCACCATCTCCAAGAAATAAGATCACCACTTCACCCTTTTCCCCAGTCTCTGAAGAACCAGCATTGTTATTTTGCTTTTTCAAAATTGTGTTGGCCATTCTCCGTCTTCCGTATTTCCATACAAATTTTAAAAGCAGCTTGTTAATTTCTATAAAAGCTTGCTGGGATTTTGACTGGTAGTATTGGATACTACGGATCAATTTGGAGTGACTGAAGTCATAAAAGATTAAGGTCTTCCAAACCATGAATGCAGTGTACTGTTCCACTTATTTAAAATATCTTTGATTTTTTTCAGAAATGTACTTTTAATTGTATAAGTTCAGCACATCTATTGTCAAATTTGTTCCTGTGTATTTCATGTTTTTGAGTATTATTTTAAATGATACTTTAAAAACTTTTTGACTTCTTTTTTTATTCTACTGAAATATTAACCTTGAAATATTCAATTATTTGTTATAATAGCTTTTTATACATCCTTTAGAATTTTCTATGTACATGATCCTGTCTGAGGAAAGACTATATTTCTTCTCTATCAATTCATATATCTATTTTATTTTTAGTCTTATTGCATTTGTTCAATAAATATTCTATATGTATACACATATATACATACATATATAAACATATATATATATTCTTATTTTGTTTTCACTTTTTATACACTTATATAACCACCACCCCTATCAAGATATCAATTTGGTTATTGACCCCTAGTTCAGTATTAAACAGAAGTGATGAAAGTAGACATCCTCCTCTTTTATCCTGATTATAGGGGAAATTATTCATTTTTTTGCTATTGAAATGTTTCCTGTAGATTTTCTTAGGTGTTTTTTATGAAGTTAACATAGCTCTTTTTTCATAGTGAAGGGTTTTTGTTTGTTTCTTTCTTTTAACTTAAATGGGTGTTAATCAAGTCCATTTATCTTCATCTACTAAAATGAATATGTGGGTTTTCTAATTTATTCCCTATATTCAGTTGAATTACATTAATTGGCTTTCAAATGTTAAAAAACTTTTCATTCCTGGATAAGCCCCACTTAAAGATGATGTATTACATATGTATGTTTTACATTGCTTAGATATCTTTCCCAGAAATTTTTTATGTCAAGATTATGCTGACCTCATTAAATGAAATGACAAAATTTCTTTCCAGTTCCTAGAAGAGATTGTGGAGTATTATTTCTTCCTTAATCATTTGATGGAATTCACCAGTGAAGCCATCTGGGATTGGTGTTTTCTTTGTGGAATATCTTTTGATTTTAATTTAATTTTTTAAATTGGTATAAGGATATCCATATTTACATTTGTTACTGAGTAACTTTTTAGTAAGATGTGCCTTTTAAGGAGTTGGTCCATTTCATCTAAATGGCATAACATTGTTTGTGATGTTTCCTTATAATCATTTAAATATTCTGTTGTGATTTCCCTTTTGTTTTACTTTTGAGTGTGTAATTTTCATTTTCTCCTTTATTTTCTTATAGTGAAAAAGTCAGTCTTACTAATCTCAAAGAATGAGCTTTTTGTTTCATTGATATTCTGTTTACTCTCAGTTTTCTGTCTTGATGTTTTGTGCTCTTATTTTTATTTCCTTCCTATTTATTTTGTATTTAAACTCTTTATAATTTCTTAAGGTGAGAAACTTAAATCATTTTGTAACTTTCTTTTTTTTGAACATAATCCTTAGAACTTTTAATGTTCTGCTAAATGTTCCTCTATCTGCTTTCCACAAATTTTGATAAATTCTGTTTGCATTATTTGTTTAAAGTCGTTTAAAATTTCCCATGTAGTTTCTTCTTTGATCCATGGGTTAATAAAATTGCTTTGTTAGTTTCTCAAATATTTTGGCATATTCCTGCTGTCTTATTTTTATTAATTTCTAGTTTAATTCCATTGTGATCAGCTAAATGAAATAATCTGTATTTCATTTCTTGAGACACTTCTTATAGCCCAGCAAATAATCTTTCTTGTTGAATGTTCCGATGTACATGAAAAAAAAAGTATATTCTGCTGTTGTTTGTAGGATGTGTTCTCTAAATATCAGTTAGTTCAAATTAGTTATTAGTGATGTTCAAGTCCTCCATATCCTTCCTGATGTTCTGTCTACTTTGTCAATTGATTTTTGAGATAAGAGTGCTAAATCTTTAGTTATAAATGGGTTTATTTCTCTTTTGAGTTCTAAGGTTTTGCTTCATGTACTCTGATGCTCTGTAACTGCTGGTATGCCGATTTACAGCTGTTATGCTCCCTGATGAAATTATACTTTCACCATTACTAAATGTCTTTTTTATCCCTGTCATTTTTCCTTGCCCTGATATCTACTTAAGCTTTCTTATATTAATATAACCAGTTCATCTCTCTGATGCTGCTGTTTGTATATTTCTTTTTCTGCTTTTTGTTGTTATCTATTTGTAAAAATATTTAAATGGTTTGATCATTAAACTTCTAAATATTTAGGAATATTTTAAGTGGGGTTCTGGTTAATAATAGGCCTGTTTTTTAAAAATATGCCTTCAGACAATCTTTGCTTTTGTTTGGAGTGCTAAGACCTTTTATATTTATTTTAACTATTGCTATTTTTAGGTTTAGGTCTACTACTACCTTCTTATTATTTTCAGTTTGTACCATCTTTTTCTGTTCCTTTTTTCTATTTTCTGCCTTCTTTTGTGTTAATTGAATGTTTTATGATTCCATTTAATTTCTGTTGTTGGCTTATTGTTAAAATTTTGTTGTTTTGTTTTATTGGTTGTTATATTTTATATTGTACATCTTTAAATTATCACAATGTACTTCAAGTGATAATATTTAATCTTATATTTATTATAAGAATCTCACAGTAGTATATTTCCCCACTTATTTGATTTATTTTATTGTAATTTTCAAACCATTCTGGATTTATATTGTGTTTGTTTTCTAGTTTATCACTGTACTTTCTGTCTCTATCCTTATTAAACTGTTTTTGTTTTTCTTAGTTCTTATTTTTGCTTTTTGAATTACATTTATTGTTTCTTTTCAATAATAAATATATTACCAGCTGACAATTTTCTGGGCACTTCAAGTTTGGTTATATTTCAGGGGTTTTAATATGTAGCATTCTAACTGTTGTTTTTATAAATACACTGAAAAACTGCAGTTTAAGTTACTTTATTTGATCCAAGTGCTTTTTATTAAATAATTTTAATATTTTCAAATGGTTAGATATTTGTTTAGACATTCTTACTAATTTTTACTACATTTGCATTGTGGTTAAAAAAGCAGTTTTTATAATTTAAAATATAAATATTTTATAATTATACTTTATAAATACCACAAAAATATGGCATTTATTATCCAGGAGCATATAACTGTGTGTTAATAATACTGATGTAATTACTAATGAAATCAATAAGGAAAATATTCAATACAGCCGTGAAGGTCAGCAAACTGCTTTTTTTCTTCCTGTTGGCGAAGCCCTCCCAGCTCCCTCCTCCCCTCCTCCAGGCTCCTCTTTTGCCCTGCGCAGGCCGAAATGCCATATCAAGATAACATAAATTGCTCCCCTTGCTGTGCTCAGGGCTCAGACTTTTGGGGGATTACTCCCCTCTGAGCCTGCCGGTGTGAAATAAAACCTCAAAACTCCAAGACCTCCGAGTGCCGCTTGGTTCTTTCATCAGTGATCCAGTCCAGGTTTTCCGGTATTTTCCATCACAAAATGAAATCATAGAACAGTAGGTGAGTAAGGAATTGAAAAGATTGTTCAAACCAACTCTCTCACAAGATTTAAATCTTTAAACATAACTAACAATCGGCACTGTTTACTTAAAAGAAGCAGAGTGAAGCTGAGTACTTTTGGTGGCTTAGAAATGCCATCTTTCTACCTGTCAAATAGAGGCCAGGGAGGCCAAAGGGGCTGGATTCCACAGGGCAGACGACCTTAGAGGGAGGGGACAGATGCAAAGCAAGAGAGCTCTAGACATTTCCAAAGGGTCTCCAACTGAGTCCTGATTAGTGGAACAGTTTTAAAAATCTTTCCAACAAAAGAACTACCTGAAAGGATGGAAATGAGCGATACCCAAGATTCACACACAATTGAGAATAGTTGCTGTTCCCAACAGCTAGAGTAGAAAGTTTCTTTAAAAAGGGTCATAGTTTAACA